TACACAGAAAAAACCCTTTAAGGTGTTTCCTAACTCATCATTCTCTATCGAATGACACCTAGCTCATTCAAATCGGTTTTAGGCATCTCGTGGGGTTCCCTTGTAAGTAAGCAAAGAGTTAAAGCTTTGGATGTATTAGTTGATTTAGATGCGTTAGTATATTTAAACAACGATTGTGAGGTGATATGATGGTTAGATGCACGAGGGCGAAGCCCGAGTGTATTCACTATCATATCACCGAGATATGATAAATCTTTATCTCAAATGATTTTGGTTTTTTAAGGTTGGTACTAAAAGTACACAATTTACACAATATACTCAAAAATACACAAAAATACAAACTTGCAAGTTTCTTCTATCTCAGTTCGACGTATAATGATAATTTCGTAGTCAGGATGGTTTTCACCAAACAGTTTAGCTGCTTGCCAAAGATATCCTTGAGTAAAATCTAAATGCGAAATTCGTATGTTTTCAAGAAGAGAGAATAATCAATTCATCCCGAACTTCATCAGCATTGTGATTGCTTTCCGCTTCCGCGAAAAGGTGCATTCGTAGCTGTGGCAAGAATTATTGTATTATATTGTCACAGCTACGGGTGCATCAATCTTGAAAATACCTCAGGTAATCGAAACGGTTATGAAGATATGTGTCACAGAGACATTCTTCGTTTTCACCAACCGCACTCAAAGTTCCTGAATTTCCATCTTTCTTTGAAATTCGTCACATTTAACTCGATGCACTTCAACATGTCCCAAGTACTGACCCAGCACATCAGAGGGAACAAATGGTTTTTGTCATTGAATCAGAGCAGGTATTGGTCACATTGTCCAACTAGACAAGCACAGGAGTTTGTTTGAGTTCTTGTCTTTTAGCAACTAACTTGAAAAGGCTAACTTGGAGATGAATTAATGATCAAAGGATAAAAACGAGTACAATACAAAGGAATGCAAGAAAATTCAAAGGTTACTCTTTGATTGGAAAGTAATGATGTTGCCGAAGAGAAGTACAAATTTACAACATGTAACATTAAATGAAGTTTTAAATCTAATGTGCACTTCATTAGTACAACATGACACTTTTGATTGATGAACCTGACATTTGAGTTTTGCATTTGAAACAAAAGTCCATCATTGAAACGGAAACTTTTTCTGAATATCATCTTTCATTATAAATAAATCATACTTTAACAGCTCGGGAAAATAATGGTCGAAACCAAACGATTAAACTAAATTTCCTATTCCAATGAATTTCAAGTGAATTAAAAAAGCATGAATGGATTATCTATCGATGAAAATCATATTTACCTTGGCATTTACCATAGCAGAGTAAATTTCTGACAGTTTTCCATATTTTGGTTCGATAATAAGTCAACCTAAATGTTTTGGGAGAAAATAAATCTAAGCCCAGTAAGCCTAGCCATTAGCCGAATTTGTATGGTCTCAACTCGAACGACTCATCATACATCATGTATACATCCAAGTAGTCGAGACAGAATTTTTCTGTTTTGAAATTAAGCACAAAATCATCTTTGAACTCGAACGTCATAGAAGAACTGAATTCCTTCGATAACTAGTTCATTTGTAGTAATTTCTTGGATTAAAGCAGCAATATCCTGTCTGGCTAAAGAACCTTTTATTTTGACAGTTTTGACACTAAAAAGGTTCTAGAAAATTGATCATTATTCTGAATCTTGAATCTGGTTGCATGATTTTTTATCGAGATAGCAATGAGATAATAGAGAAAACGAATTTGGTTGAATTAAATTCTGAGGAAGAAAAAATCATAAATAGGAACAAAAAATTAAATTTTATTACATTCGCTTTAAAAATAGTCAGAGGTTAATCAGAATTAAGGTTATTGAGAAATTCACGCTTAAACAGGGTAGGGGGAAAATGCAGAATCCGTATTTTGAAGCATTGTGTTTGGGGGAAAAACTTTTTGGTTATTTAGTTTGATGGTTTATTGTTGGATTAGGAATATATGCAAAACTGTCTTTCGAGTGCAGAGTTTGGTTAAAAGTCTGGTGCCTAAACTGTACTAAAAGAGACCAAACAACAAAGCTAAAGTTCATTTCATCAATAATTGTCCACCAGACAAACTTTTTAAATCAGAATTTGCTTCTTTAAATGTGCATTGAATCTATCGTTCGCAGTGAAAATAAATTTGCGGTCAGTCATGATCGGGGCTAAACTTGTGTTTAATAATGAAAACTTTACCAGAATCGATTTTGCATTCTTTATTTATTAATAAATGCTGCAATTTTTTTTCATTGGATTGATCAAAGTTATTTTACAGCATATTAAAATTCAAATTATCGTCAAAAAGAGTGAATATTGAAATATGAGATTTGAAAAAAGTAGTTTTTTTAGTTTAAGTTTTTACATGAAGTTTTAATCAAGAAGAATCCTGCATTCGTCGATTTGTCGAGTTATTGTCTGTTTTTTCTCAGCATCTACAAAAGTGGCGATAAAATAATGGTTTTTAGTCAATTTTGGGAACAGTGAAGCAGTTTTGTTGTCCAGTTCAAGAACTACCAAGTAGTCTTTGAGAAGTAATTGACATGTCGGTGAATCTTTACGACGAAATAGAAGCAGATATTTCAGAGTTGTGATGAACTTTTCCATTTCTGCCAACATTTGCGAATAGTCGACTTCTCTTGGAGAGAATGTACAATTATTCATAAAAATTTCTGCACAGTTTTCTTTAAAATAAGGAGAAAGATAAGCAGGTTGCCCGTCGAATAGAATTGAAGGACGTTGACATATATGTAGGCATTGATGATCAGCAGCTCCTTGCCAAAATTGAGCAAACCTCTCGAACTGTTTCATGGCCAGTTTGCGAGGATAAAAATCAACTGAAAGAGGATCAACTCTAATAGATTTAATTATGTGCGATGTAACATTATCCAAGTCCTTCTCTATCAATGTCAACATAACGACGTCTGTCTTGTCAAATGATGATTTCGATGAACCACAAGATCTTTCCAGTTGCAAGCTCACATTCTTGGTATATTCGGTGTTTTCATGAAACTGGTTTACTTCAGTTGGAAATGTGCGAATAACCACATCCTCTCCACAAAGTTTTTGACCAATATAATGTGGTGTCCTCAGTCGAAATGTTAAATTTTCATCGCTTAAATAGTCATTCGAATTGATAATCTCTAGACGAGAATAATTTTTCATCAAAATTTTTATGAGTTTCTTTGGCTTTGAAAGTATCATATCTACAAGTTAATATCACAGCTTTGGGTTTCGAAGTAGTTTCTTATAAATATCAGTTTTTCTGTGAGCTCTTAAAATAAAAAGATATTGACCTCAAGACATTGTTCTTGTCTATACGATAATTTAACCTTAGAGCAAAATTCATTTTAATCATCAACTACAACATTTGATTGTAACTTATAAGGATTTTGGGTATAATCAAGGATTCAAAATTCCGCTGCCTCATTTTAACAGTAATTTCTGAATTAAGAAATCTTTGCTGGTAAATTAATCATTCATTAATATTGAAAAAACAGTCACAAATAAAGTTTAAGTTTTCACAATTCGAATAACATATTTCTAAATGGAAACAAGATATACGTCTAAGCAAATAATTTATGATGTCGCATCTCTTTTATTGTGATCATTGAAGACATCCAATAAATCTGCTCAATCCAATAATGCACTTTTACCTTGTCCGACTTGACTATTTCAACTGAAGGCTCATTACTATTGAGATATTACTATTAACAATCTTGTCATCTTTCATAGTTCGGTTCTAGCTTTACCCGAATTATATTCATCAAGTTACAAGTTATGTATCTTGTTGAAATAAAGTCGGTTCTAGGGGGCAAGGTTAGTGATAAAATGAAGATATCAGATAAACTTACCATATTCGGTTTTAATATACCGAAATTTATTTTCAATATGACCAGGTTTCACTTCATTTATTAGCATACATGAAGCAAGTTGAAAGACCGAGAAAAAACAAATAAAACTTTTAAAATCCATTGATTTTGATTGAATTAACCTTCAATGATACTTGTATAACTTAAACTGGTACATCAGCGGTAACAGTTTTTTAGGTTTAAGTAACTAGAGTTGGTTACTTTCGCTTCTCTTATAACCAAGTAACCAGAGCATCCTTCAGTGTGAAATTAATGCTTCAAGTGAAATTTTTACCGCTAAATAATGAAAGAAGTTCGAGATAACTAGACTAAATTTGAAACCATGAAAAATCATCATTATAAGAGAAATGAATTGAGTTTTTTTATTTCTTCAAACATTGACGTTTCTAGTTTAGTAACCATAAAATGATGGTTAGAAGTTACAATTATTTTAATTTCAGCGGTTTCTTGAACAGGATTTGACTTTTCTTTGTCTGACTGCACCTTATTTTGAGCTTGACTACATAAAGACCTTTGTTTACTTTTAGTTTAATTCAAACTGTGAGTTCAATAAACTCCAAAAGAATAACGTTTTGATTATTTTGTCTTAAACCTTTGCATTCTTTTTTCAATAAACTAAGTGTTCAATGGATTCGAAACTTTACTTGATTTATGTTCTTCTAGGATTCATTCGTTCGTCACATCAAAGTGATGATTTGGGTTGGGCCAAAGTTGATGTCAAATATTATATGAATATCAAAACCAATGTTGACTTACAGTGGATGAATCGTCAAGACAGTGCTCAATGGAGAAATGATAGTTTCGTTGGAGATGTTAAGTGGCCAAGAAGCAAAGTAAAAATCGACGAAAATGATAATTGTTATCTGTATTTATTCAAGAATCAAACAAGTACTATTCATGGACCAGTAAAGATCGATTCAAAGCATATTGAATTGGACATAAAATATCACATGAGTGAAATCAATTATACGCTTCCAAAGGACCAAATTCAGGAATATGAGCTCGCCTACATGAATTATATTCGTCGTGTTTTAATGGAAAGTGTATTCAAAGTTCGTTTTTTTAATTCAACCAAGGATCTTCTAAATATTTATCTTGAGCTTGATTCTGAAACTGCTTCACTTTTCCCTAAAATCGAAAAAGAAGATTATTTTATAATCAGTATTATAAATTTTGTCGATACAATCTCTCTTCCTCTGAGTGAAGATAGAAGAAATTATGTCCTTTTCCCTGAAAATGATCCAAGGAACGGTTGGGTCGTGGTTTCTCATACAATTTTAAATTATACAATTTTATCGCCAGATGCTTCCAATGAAATTAAAGTGTAACAATCATTTTATTTGTGAATAAAAACTGTTTCTATGAACTCTAGATATGATTTTTAAATATTCATCTGTTTTGTTTTCATTCAGTTTCAAACAATTGCATCCCTAGTTGCACCTACCGTTGTCATTAGTGAACAAACGGATTGACGATTACTCAACTGACGAATTGCCTTTAATATCTTTCCCTTTAAGATCAAGAGAATCACTTTGACCAGCATTAGTAAGAAAACCTCCCCGTTTAGCTATCCAAGTGTAACGGATTATCCCGAACTTTATTAGCACTGTGATCGCTTTCCGCTTCTGACAAATGGTACAGTCGTAGCTGTGGCAATAATTATTGTATTACATTGCCACAGCTATGGCTGTATCAATCTTGAAGCGACCTTAAAGAATCGAATCGTTTGTAATGAATTAATCAGACGGTATTAGATAATCATAACGATAAAAAAGACTAAAGTTGATGTGCTTCTTAAAATGAGAACTTTATCTTCCAAAGCTGCAAGGTCTCTTTCAATTCCTTCGTGTTTTCTTTGTAAAGCTTGAACACTTACTAAATCTCTACCATAGTCATCCGAAGATATAACTAGATCTTTTTCAAGAATCCAGGAAATAGTTTCATCAGCATCTCTGTTGAATATTTGAATCTCTTGTGCACCGGCAAGTTTTTGTTGACGAACTGACGTCAAGTATTTCAAACGTTTCCAAGCTTCTTCGACTTCGGTTCGACGTCTAATGATAATTTCGTGGTCAGGGTGGTTTTCACCAACCAGTTTATCTGCTTGCTTTGTAACTTCTTGCACTCGAAATTCTTGGCTTGCCATTTCTTTTTGAAATTCATCAAATTTCCTTTGGAGCACCTCAACATGTTCCAAGTCTTGTCCCATCTCATCAGAGGTAACAAATGCTTCTTTATCATTGATCCAGAACATAACTTCATCACATTGTCGATTGAATTGCTGAAGTACAAGAGCTTGTTGAAGTTTTAGTCCTTTTTCAGTTAACTTGGAAAGAAGTAGTTCCCATAGTCGGTGAAGTTCATCGAGACGATGAGTGATCACTTCAGCAGCAAAATGTCCCTGGTTAATCATTTCACCACCGGTAGCACTGAGAGATACAATAGCATCGGAATGAGCAGTCACTTCAGCCTCAAATGCTTGATGTTTTTGAATTTTAGCCTGTAAATTTGTTGGATCTTTATACGATTCATCTGAAGCAGTTTGTAATTTTTCCAATATCCACGATTCAAGTTCATCTGCATCTCTTTTGAAATATTGAAATCTCTTTGAATCTTCTAATAAACTTCTCTTTTCTTTAGCTTCTTCCTTGAATCTTTGATATCTTCCAAGAACTTGGTCTCTTCTTTCCTGAATATCTTCAACAGTTTCCAATATTTTGATTTCTTTGGTAGTAACACTAGATGTAGAGGTATCCATGGTGTATTTAAGATTGTCCTAGTTCTAAAGCTGGATAGTAAACAATGATGATTAAATGATGAAAGTATGAAGACAAATGCAATACCAAACCCAGAAAAAAAGGCTAGGCAGGGTGACAGAAAAAAACTAGAACAGTTGAAACCTAAAAAAAAAAACAATTAAAAACATGAATTATAAACATGAAAACAATCCAAAAGCAACAAGATAGAAAGCAATATTATTTATGGTTAAAAATTTACTTACTTTACACTTTTAATTTGATTAATATCAACAAAACACATGAAAACGATTACACAGAACTGTTTAAATCCGTGAACCAACCCTGCAAAATTCGTTGACTTTCCGCTTCTGCAAAAATGGTACATTCATAAGAGCAACAATAATTACTGTATTACATTGTCATTCTTATGGTTGTATCAATCTTGAAAAGACTTCAGATAATCGAAACGTTTATAAAAATGTTTTAAAGAGACGTTCTTTTCTTAGACCAGCCATTTAATAAAAAAGACAAACCTATTTCACCCAAAAAATTCCCCTATGTTGTACATTGCCATTTATATAAGCACTTGAATCTGGCAGAGACTTTGTACAATCAAATCGAATCCATCAAAATTCATACATTACTCAGAAAATCTCTTTCAGTTGAGTTATTCACAAACTTTTCATCTGGAAAGTTGTAGCTCGTGCATCAATTTCAGTTTGATTTTGTTGATTAATAAAAACTATGATTGATTACCAAAACGAGCCTCTAGTTTAATGAACAACACTTCCAAGTGTATAAATGAAACAAGACACTCATGAGTTAATGCATTATTGATATTCACAATGATATTTTTATTATGCTTTTTGTTAATCATTTCCTTATCCATATTAAATGCTGTCATTAGTGAACAAACGGATTGACGAGTAATCAACTGCAGAATTAACTTTAATATCTTACCCCTTTTATAACAAGAGAATCACTTTGACCAGCATTAGTAAGATAAGCTCGCTGTATAGCTATCCAAGTGTAACAAAATATCACGAACTTTATCAGCACTGTGATCGCTTTCCGCTTCTGGAAAATGGTACAGTCATAGCTGTGGCAATAATTATTGTATTACATTGCCACAGCTATGGCTGTATCAATCTTGTAGCGAATTTGAAGAATTGAATCGTTTGTAATGAATTAATCAGAAGATATTAGATAACCATAACGATAAGAACAGGATAAAGTTGATGTACTTCTTGACCTAAAATGAGAACGCTGAACGCTGAAATACTTACAAGATTCTAGCATCCGTATGAGTGGCAAATAATTATTATAGTAATATTCTGTCACTCATACGGCTGTCTGAATCCTGCAGAAACATTCTTTTCTTTCATCGGCTTTTGCTCGACTTTCCACAACTAGATGCAATTCCTGAGTGCTTAGCTTGAATCTTGTCTCTATGATATGAATGAAGTTAACATGAGCATTTTACCAGAATCATCATCTGTCTGAATCCTGCAGAAACATTATTTCTTTCACCAGCTTTTGCTCGCAACTTTTCACAATTGTACCAGAATGAAGTTAACATGAGCATTTTTTCAGCATCATCAGCTGCATTGAAGCTTTCTGCTCGAGCTTCGATCTCTCCTTTATGCTCATTTGAGAGAGTAACCAATTTTTTGCCATTATGATCGTTTTCCGCTTCTGCAAAATTTGCGCAGTCATAAGAGCGGCAATAGTTACTGTATTACATGGCCATTCTTATGGCTGCGTAAATCTCGAAAAGGACTCAGGCAATCGAAACGATTACTCACATCTATCTAAATCCATGAATCACCCCTGCAAAATTCGTTTATTTTTCGTTTATGTTGCTTTCTCCTTCTGCAAAAATGATGCATTCATATGAGTGTCAATAATTACCCAGATAGTCCTCAGATAATCGAAATGGTTATGAGATCATCTGATTGCAGAGAGATCGGTTTCAATTTTCTTGGCATTAAAATCCGCCAATAATTGATGAAGAAGTTAATTTTCATCAAAAATTTCATTAGCTTTTGCAATTATCAACAATTCTGGTAGCACAGCTTGAATTTTGTTTTTGTAAAGTTCACATATTGGATCACAAGGACACACACTAGAGATGAAAAATGGTTATTAAGAGGTTTACATACAGTTTTTAAGATAATAGTTTTGAGGGTCAATAAAATAGAGATGATTAAATGATGAAAGGATTAATACGAGTGTAAGCGCTAGAAATAGAGTAAAACAAAAAATAAAAGGAAATGGAAGTTGCAAGGGAATTTAAATGTTACTCTTTCATTGAAAAGTAATGATGTTGCTAAAGAGAAGTACAAAGTAAGCAAAGAGTTAATCTTTTGATGTATTAGTCGATTTTGATGAGATAGATTAGATAATAAATTAACCTAAGAGTAAAAATATGAGTGGAACTGCTTGATTAGTGCAAAATTGCTAATAATGACTTTTCCTTAATCAATCGTTTTAAGTTTGATCTGATCCCATGAGTTTTTTAGATTCAAATCTGCAGTTGAAGCAATTTCACTTTGCAATAAAAATATCGATATCGAAAAGACTTGTTATCGTTCATTACTAGTGTTAACAGCTTCTCTGACTATTACTTTTACACTAAACAATGGAATACTTGATAAGCTTTACAGGATTCTTAAAGGCGAATCGCTCGGTTATGTCCAAGCTCCATAGATTTCAATTTTATTTATCAATTCTTGCCGCTCTACCTGAATTTTGTTGAGCAAGACACTGTATCACATTTCACCAACTTTAGCTCTCAGCTTTCCCAATTAAATAAAATTTCGAGTGCTTACCTTGAATTTTTTTAATCAGGATGAAGTTGACACAATCTGTGCCTGATGGGCCACTTGTCCTGAGACGTTGCTTTTATCATAGTAAGCAGAAAATATTAGATAATCATAGTGATAAGATCAGAATAAACTTGGTGCTGATTGGCCTAAATTAAATTAACAAGAAAATTTTCACCAACTTCATCATCATGTCGCTTTCCGCTTCTGCAAAAATAATGCATTCGTAACTGTCGCAATAACTATTGTATTACATTGCCATAGTTACGGGTGCGTCAATCTTGAAAAGACCTTGGACAATCGAATCGGTTAGAAAGATGTGCGTCAAAGATTCAGTTTATATTCATGCAAAATACATTTACTTTTAAACAATCAGAGAGTTCTTCCCATTCGAGCGAATAATTTATTCATCACGAACTTTATCAGAATTATGATCGCTTTCCATTTCTGAAAAATTTGTACAATCATAATATCGGCAATAATTATTGTATTACATTGTCATTCATATGGCTGTCTAAATCTTGAAAAGACCTCAGACAATCGAAAGGGTTATACAAACCTGTCTAAATCCATGAATCGCTCCTGCGAAATTTGTCTATTTTCCATGATTGAAGAAAAGAATTATTCTCATTCGAGAAAATGATTAACTTTTGACGAACTTCATCAGCTTATGTCGCTTTCTGCTTTTGCAAAAATGGCACAATCATAACTGTCGCAACAATTATTGTATTACATTGCCATAGTTATGGTTGTGTCAGTTTTGAAAAGACCTCAGACAAACAGTTATCCAGTTTGTCTCAATCCATTCACTTGTATTCCCATAACTCAAGAAAGAGTTCTTCTCATTTGAGCGAGTAATCAATTTATCACGAACTTTATCATAATTATGATTAGCGTCTCTGTTAAACATTTGAATCGTTTGTGTACCAGCAACGCTGAATTGGTACTTACAAGATTCTAGCATCCGTATGAGTGGCAAATAATTATTATAGTAATATTCTGCCACTCATACGGCTGTCTGAATCATGCAGAAACATTCTTTGCTCTTACCAGCTTTTGCTCGCCACTTTTGACAATTGTACCAGAATGAAGTTAACATGAGCATATTTTCAGGTTCATCAGCTGCATTGAAGCTTTCCACTCGAGCCTCGATCTCTCCTTTATGCTCATTTGAGAGAGTAAACAATTTTTTGCCTTTATGATCGTTTTCCGCTTCTGCAAAATTTGCGCAGTCATAAGAGCGGCAATAATTACTGTATTACATGGCCATTCTTATGGCTGCGTAAATCTCGAAAAGGACTCAGGCAATCGAAACGATTACTCACATCTATCTAAATCCATGAATCACCCCTGCAAAATTCGTTTATTTTTCGTTTATGTTGCTTTCTGCTTCTGTAAAAATGGTGCAATCGTAAGAGTCGCAATAATTATTGTATTACATTGCCATTCTTACGGTTGCATCAATCTTGATAAGACCTTTGACAATCGAAACAGTTATAAAGATCTTTCTAAATTCACTCACTTATATTTCCATAACTCGAAAAGAGAGTTCTTCTTATTTGCAAAAAGTAATCAATTTATCACGAACTTGTGATCAGCATCTCTGTTAAATATTTGAGTCTCTTGTGCCCCGGCAAATTTTGTTGACGAATTGACATCAAGTATTTCAACCATCTTCGCCTTTCGTTGTACGTCTTATAATACCTTCAAAGTCAAAGTGGTTTTCAGCATCCAGTTTATTCGCTTGCTTTGTAACTTGCTGAGGTCGAAATTCCAGGCTTGAGATTTCTTTAGAAATTCGTCACATTTCCTTTTTAGCACTTCAATATGTCTCAAGTACTTACCCAGCACATCAGAGGTAACAAATGGTTTTTTTCATTGAACCAGAACAGGAATTGATCACATTGTCCAATTGCACAAGCACAGGAGTTTGTTTGAGCTCTAGTCCTTTCGTAACTAACTTGAAAAGGCTAACTTGGAGACGATTTAATGATGAAAGGATAAAGACGAGTGTAATACCAAGAAATGGAGTAAAACCAGGAAATAAAAGGAAATGAAAGTTGCAAGGGAATTTAAAGGTTACTCTTTGATTGAAAAGTAATGATGTTGCAAAAGAGAAGTACGAAGTAAGCAAAGAGTTAATCTTTGAATGTATTAGTTGATAGTAAGGTATTAATAGATAGTAAAGTAACCAAAGAGTAATAAAAAGAGTGGACCTTGAAAAAGTTTAGTTGCCATGGTAGGTGATGTTGATCAAAGCAGAGAGTGCTCACTTCAAAAGCAAAACGTCCCTGAAAGAAAATGAAACCTGAATCAATGAAAAAACAGAAATGAACATGAAAATTATCAAGATGATGTAACATTAAAGTTTCAAATCTAATGCGCACTTCATTAGTACAACATGACACCTACTTGATGAACCTGAAATTTTAGTTTTGCATTTAAAATAAAAGTCCATCATTGAAACGGAAACATTTTATGAATATCATCTTTCATTATAAATGAATAAATCATACTTTAACAGATCGTGGAAATAGTAGTTGAAACCAAACGATTAAACCAAATTTTATAATCCAATGAATTCCAAGTGATTTGAAAACAACAGAGTTGGTAACAAATATTGTTAACTCTTCAAGTTAAATCTTAAAAATAGTTGCAGGTTAGGTAATGATGACGATGAAGATGAAGATAATGAAACATTGTACATGAAGCAATCCAAGTTGGAAGTGTAAACATGATTTATATTGAACTGAACAAAAAATGTTGATTACTTTAACGACCATTTCAAATGAATCAAATTAACCACACTAGAGATTTGTTTTATCAATCAATAAAATAGCAATAAAAAGACGTTTCAAGATGACAATTGATATCTTTTGCTTTACTCTTAAAGATACAATCTTTGTCTCTCCAGATGAGCACATAAGGGGCTAACCATTAATTAAAAATCCATTGAAAAATGAAGAGTCGATCCCTCACCACCAGTTGACGTAAGCAAAAAGTGTGTACAAAGCTAACTGTTGCAGCAGTTATTTTGAAATAATAATGATTTATTTGTCTTGGTGATAATAATGGTGGAAAATATGAAATAATATTTTATTGAAAAGCAAAGTTTCATTTCATTTTATAACTCTTTTCATTTTTCGTTTCTTTACTCCGGCCACAAAATGAATGCCTTTTTTTCCTATCTTCATTTAATGAAATTTGATTTTTGTATTTTCATTTTCTTTTCTTCATCTGTTATTCAAGACATGATTATGACTCAATTAGTCGAGGATAAAGTGTGCTTAAATCATCTTAAATTGGACGACAGTTTTTGTGCAAACTTTACATCTTATCCTGATTCAAGTGAAACTCAAGAGATACTTCGAGTTGCCAATTCGTTTAAGAACTGGCAATTTGTTTTCCACAGTATTCCATCTTTGATAATGTCCTTTTTCATTGGCTATTGGCTTGGAAATTATCCGAAACACTTCAAGATTTTCATCATTCCAGTCTTTATTGGGTGCATTTTCAAGACTCTTGTAGTGTTGATCAACCTTTTCATGTTCACTGCTCGTAAGCATTTCAAAAGATTACAAATTTTCCTTTTCAATGAAACTGTATTATTTATCGGATAGCATGGTGGGCTTTGCTGATAGCAGATTCACTTTATTCCTTCTGTGGTGGTGGATTCTTTTTATTCAGTGCCATTTATTCCTCAATTTCATGGGGAACACCAAGTCATCTTGTAATCGTACGATTTGCTGTCATTGAATTTTTCGTCAAAATTGGTGAGAAGTTTAAAAATTGATTGGAACATGAATTTTCTGAAATTTGAAAATAGCTAGAGATTTGCTTCCACAATAAAATGTATGTAAATTCAATTTTCAAATTGATATCGAATTTCAAAAATTTCCTGATTCACTTGTGTTGGAATTTGCTTTTACAGTAAAATTTATTAATTTTCATTTCCATACTTTTCTTTCAGCAATACTTGGCTCAAGTTATTCAAGTGGTTTGATTCTTGCAATGGACCCATGGATCGGCGGTCAGCGGAAAAATTTTGTCGGAGTTTTGTTGATCAATTTGTCCATTTACTTGTTTGGATTGATTTATGCAATTTTCATGAAAACGAGTTTTATTGTTGATAAAAATCCTGAAAAAGATGATGCATCTTTTATTGAAGCTGTTAAGGATGTTTTCCGTCTATCAAGAGCCAAAAAATGTTTAACTATTTTTGCCATTAAAAGACCGAATCATGGTCGGCTTCGATTGATACTGCTGGTTACTTCAGGAGCAATTTGTAATGCAGCAATCAACAGTGAAGACAGTATTGCCTACCAGTTTGCCCAGCGTGTTTATGGACTGACTGAGGAATCTTATACATCAATGTTGACCCTTGTTTACATACCACTGGCTATTGCTACTCCAATTACGCCTTCGATTCTCAAACTTTTAGACCTTTCAGATTCAAGTATCGCTATTCTCGGATGTTTATCCTTGTCGATATTTTTCATTGTTAGAGGCATCTTTTTATCTCTCAAAGGCTACATTGCTGGATATGTTATGGGTACATTTGCACGACTTTCAATGGTTGCTATTCGAAGTCTTATCCTATCTTCTGTCGATTCAACTGAATCGGCTCAGATTTTTACTCTATCCACTGCTTCTGAAGTGTTTGTTGGATTAGCTGCTAATCTTATGTATACATCAGTATTCAGTTTAACAATTGCACATCAACCCGGAGCTGTGATGCTTTTGGTTGGTCTTATTATATTATTTCCATTAGCTGTTAGCTGTTGGATAAGATTTGGACAAAAACAAGTGATACAATGTATTTCAAGTGACAGTTACAGTGTAGAGACTCAATTAAGATCCCAAAACGTGATTACTTTATCCGACCAAAAAACAACTTAGTTTTATTTTTAAAATACTTGATCGATGATCCAACTGGACTGATAATTACACTTGATTCCCTCGACAATAAAGACAATATATAAAGTCAAAACATGAAATTTTTGCGTAAAAGTTGTGAACAAACCAACAGGATTCTAAGGAAAATTTACACTGTCTGAAAGTTTTGATTAAACTACATCCATAAAATTAGTCATAGCATTATCGAAATTCAGGTTACTGAGAAATTCAAGTTTGAACAGGTGAAGAAAAAAATGCAGAATCCGTTTCAATTGTCAAAATACAATGAGTACTATTGACTTTGAGAGAAAAGTTTTTTGTTTATTCAGGTTGATGATTTATTATTTCATTAGGAGAACACCTTAATCCATTTGGTTTGGACTAGCAAAGATGACTGATTGAAGAGGTTGTAATACATTGTATAATTAACCTAGATGTAACACTTTCAGTCATTAGTAATGGTATTTAAAAGTTAACCCCTTCAATTGATGACATGAAAAAGCTACTTCGTAACCGTAGATCTGTTTAGACTTGAAATTGGTACAAAAATTGAACGAAAAGCTGCAAGTCCTAACTCTTTGTCAAACATCCTTTGTCACTTATTTGTATCGATTTAACATGAAATTTGCCGAATCAAATCTTACCTTCCCTAGTAAGAGGTTTATATTCATCCTTTTTGCTTGTAAACCCTCCCTTGAGCCTTTGACCAATAAAGCTTTACTTTAAACGCTTAAAGTTATTACAATATGATATTGTCAATGATGATAACTTTATTTCAAAGGAAGGTAAATCAAGGAATCAACTTTGGAGTCAACAGCAGAGTAAAGAGGCTTTTGCAGGGTCTTGGGTGCTCTGACCACTAACCAATGAGGATGACACTGAGTCCTCTTTGGGTATAACATATGCCGAACCTCAGTATATAATGACCCCAATCAGTCAAAACAAACAAAAACGAAAACGAGAACAGTCATTATCGGGGTTCTTTGTTCTCGAGCAACTAGAATTTTCGCCAATTTTTCACAATTCAGAATTTTTTGTTATTTTTGTTCTAAAATCTGTCTACACAGTTTGCTTTTATTATTAAGGTATGTTTTGAATCTATTTATTATTTAATTTCAATCTAATCTGATGTTTTTTGTTTACTCTTTTTTAAGGTTTAAGCTTTGAATGCGCTGAAGATATGGGTGATATCGGGGCTGATATTTCTAGAGACGAAGCATCTGAAGTGTATGAGGCTGAATCGGTGAGTGACACTACCGTAGAGAAAGGACGTAAGTTTGTGACAATTCCAGACGCGGGATATTACTTTTCAGTGGTTGGGTCTGAGTATCTTCCCAATAAGCCCAAAACAGAAGAGAATTTTCGAGTTGAAGTGTCCTGGCACAATACGTTAGTCGCTCCAGCTCAAGTTAAAGGATGGCTTGGTCCTATCCCCAAAGGGTTCAGCCAAAATGTTTCAGAACTGCAGGATTGCTCCAACCCTGTCCATTTTAGAATCCAAGAATCCACTGAAGTGAATTACCTTTGCCGTTGGTGCAAAAAGTCGTATTCTGGACGAAACAACCAATACCGACATGAACGCAAGTGTGACGAACCAGGTGCTCCCGGACATGTTTGTCCTGATCACCCAGACGATTGTCCCAACAAAGACAAGCCTGGTCACCTCTGTAGATGCCCTCCTAACTGTGCTGGGGCTTGTGAATGGACTCCAAATCGTGAAAATGATAAAAGGAAAAACAATAGTCGTGGCAATATCGCTAGGAAGCGTCAACAATTGTAAAACTTTTTTCAATAAATCATTTCTCTCTCCATCTCTTTTGCGTATAGATACTTGAGAAAGTATTAGTTTACAGAATAAACAAAAGGTAAGTAAAAAGTGAAAGAGATAATTTCGCTTAATCTGGATCCTATAAGATCCATTTTAAAATTGTTTTGAATTCTGCCGTGATCGTCAAAAAGTAGTAATGCTAAAATAATTCCAATACATGAATAAGCAATACAATTGTTGGTTAAACAGTTATAACAAAACAAAGAAATTCTGATAAATTTTGGATTTTTAGAGAATGGAGATCATGTTAAGTTGATACAAAATATAATATCATTTACTGATTATGTATTAATAGGTTTCGCAGAAATGAGTTTGAATGCTACATTAATGACAAATTCATTTTGGTCACACTTTGAAAGTTTATTTATCATCTGCAAGCAAATTATTGTCAAGAAAGGTATGAAAATATTAAAGTATAACAGAAATTGTTTTATTAATAGTTGTATATTATTATAAAATCTAACTAGAAAAAATTCTGCAAACATCAATGATTCGAGTTGAAGTGAGCCTTTTCTTGGTGTCAATGAAATGTGCAATAAAATAATGGTTATCAGTTAATTTTGGGAACAATGAAGCAGTTTTGTTATCCAGTTCAAGAATCATCGTTGGTCTCCACATAAAGAGCATGGATAAAAGCCTAAAATCACATGTTTTTGATCTCAAGTCAAATAGGAAGAGATATTTTAGAGTTTTAATGAATTTTTCCGTTTCGGCTATAAATTTAGGATAGTCGACTTCGTTTGCATTGAATGTACAATTTTTAGGCAATGTACATTCATGTGGTAGATCCAAACCTGCAGCAACATATTTGTATTTATAGATTCCATGACAAAAGTGCTCACAAAGATCAGTTACTGCCCGTTGAACAAGAGGCTCAAACGCTTTCATGGGCACATGATGAGTATACAGTTCAACTGAAAGAGGATCGACTCTGATAGATTTAACGATGTTTGATGTAACATTAACATATTCCATCAATGTCAACATGACGATGTCTGTCTTATCAAATGATGATTTCGATGAACCACAAGCGCTTTCCATTTCCATGCTCATATTCTTGGTATATTCGGTGTTTTCATGAACCGGATTTACTTCAGTTGGAAATGTGCGAATCACGATATTTCCGATCCGAAACAAATCAGTGACCAAGTGTGGAGCCCTAATGGGAAATCCGAAATCAGGTAATAATGCTGTACCTAGACGAAATATTTTATTAAAATTTTGTACGGTTTCTTTAAGCCAGAAAATATTGTGACTACAAGTTAATATCATACTAACGATATCATCGTAAGTAGTGATAGTAAAAAAGTATTGCTTTTTGTCTTACAAGGGAAGGCTCTCAGATCGCAATCGAGGATTTTTTCAAACCTGGTACATTAGTAGCTTATTACTGAAATAACGCGACTTTGCGATCTGAAAACCTTCCCTTGTTAATATCATGTTATCGTCTATCTACATTTGCGTTTCATGATAGAAAGGAGATCTCAATGAAATGATAAAAGTCCCGTAACTGCGTTGAAGTGGTGATTTAAACTTACACTTAAACTTATTCTAACTAAACTAACCTCATATCTAGAATCAATTGAATCAAACACGCTCAACTCTATGGAAAAAATTGATTCATGACTTTTCAGCAATAATAGAGCTAGTTAGAGCTGAAATTGAACCAGACAAGCTTGATAATGAATTTTTTGCAATAATATTATGGGCTGTAATTATTAATAGGATCCTGAGGATTTAAATCTCTTTTTTCTTTTCAAAAAGAAATGGCAATCCGAAAACTTAAAGTGTAAGAAGTTAAATGCAAGCAGATAAACTGGCCGGTGAAAACCATCCTGACCACGAAATCATTATTTGACGTCAAACCCAAGTCGAAAAAGCTTGGAAACGTTTGAAATACTTGAAGTAAGTCCTGCTGCTTTGGGTGACAAAATTAGATCACTCGATGAAATTGTCCAAAGATTGGTAAAAACTCATTCAGAAACTGCCGAGAATACTTATCAAAAGCAATTTGAAATAAATCAAGAATGGGACCAATTAATTGCTAAGGCTACTGCTCGAAACTTGACGATTCCTATGAACTTCAACGATTCTTGGCTGACTATCGTGACCTCATGTCATGGATAGTTTCAATAAAAGCTCTAGTATCTTCTGATGAACTTGCAAACGATGTTACCTCATGAGGCTCTTGAAAGACATCAGGTAAGCTTTTCTTTTACTCTTCATAATTTATATTGAAACATTGCTCTAAATAAATATTAATAACTCTAAATCCGATGTCTAATTAATTTACAAAATTTACAATTCACAGGGACATCAAACTGTAATCGATCTATCGTTCGACGTCTAATGATAATTTGGTGGTCAGGATGGTTTTCACCAACCAGTTTATCTGCTTGCTTTGTAACTTCTTGCACTCGAAATTCCTGGATTGCCATTTCTTTTTGAAATTCATCAAATTTCCTTTGGAGCACCTCAACATGTTCCAAGTCTTGTCCCATCTCATCAGAGGTAACAAATGCTTCTTTATCATTGATCCAGAACATAACTTCATCACATTGTCGATTAAATTGCTGAAGCACAAGAGCTTGTTGAAGTTTTAGTCCTTTTTCAGTTAACTTGGAAAGAAGTAGTTCCCATAGTCGGTGAAGTTCATCGAGACGATGAGTGATCACTTCAGCCTCAAATGCTTGATGTTTTTGAATTTTAGTCTGTAAATTTGTTGGATCTTTATACGATTCATCTGAAGCAGTTTGTAATTTTTCCAATATCCACGATTCAAGCTCATCTGCATCTCTTTTGAAATATTGAAATCTCTTTGAATCTTCTAATAAACTTCTCTTTTCTTTAGCTTCTTCCTTGAATCTTTGATATCTTCCAAGAACTTGGTCTCTTCTTTCCTGAATATCTTCAACAGTTTCCAACATTTCGATCTTTCTTTAAATGATTTCTTTGTATGTAACACTAAATGTAGAGGTATCCATGGTGTTTTCAAGATTATCCTAGGTTTTTAGCTGGATGATTTTATGATGAAAGGATGCAGACAAATGCAATACAATTTAACTTTTTACACTCTAAGTTTTCGGATTGCCATTTCTTTTTGAAATGAAAAAAGAGATTTAAATCCTGCAGATCCTAATAACAGCCCATAATATTATTGAAATAAATTCATTATCAAGCTTGACTGGTTCAATTTCAGCTCTAACTAGCTCTATTACTGCTGAAAAGTCATGAATAAATTTTTTCCCCATAGAGTTGAGCGTGTTTGATTCAATTGATTCTGACTATAAGATTAGTTTAATGAAAATAGATAGACTTACTCATCCACGGAGTATTCAGTTTCCATTCTTTATCAACATAACCAGGTTTTACCTCCTTTATTAGCATACATGAAGCAAGTTGAAGCACCGAGAAAAAACAAATGAAACTTTTAAAATCCATTGAGTTTGATTGAATTGATCTTCAAGTTAACAGCAATACTAGTTGATATACACTGTCAACTCACCAGCGGTATTAGTTTAAGTAACAAAAGTTGGTTACTTTCGCTTCACTTACTGTATGACCGAGTAACCATAATATCTTAAGTGTAATGGATCTTTTAGATTAAATTGTTCACAAAAATAATTAAAAAATGCAAGATATTTGAATGAAATAATTTGTAGTAACCTCTTAAAATTGCTATTGAGAAAAGCATTAACTTTATTGATCTCTTCAAACATTGAAGTTTCCAATCGAGTAACCAAAAAATAACAAAAAAGTTAAAAGTAACTTAACCTCAACCCCTTCTTGACCGAGACTTGCGCTTCCTTTGTTTTGAGCTTACTAACAAAGACCTTTGTTTACTGTCATTTCATCTCAAACTATGTTCAATAAACACAAAGAGTAAGATTGTTTAGTCGTTGTTGTTTCAAACCCTTGTGTTCATTTCAATCAACAAAGTGCTCAATGGATTCAAAATCTCACTTGATTCGTGTTCTTTACGTTTTGTATTTGATTCATTTGTCAAGTCAATGGTATCATTCTGAATTACCGAATTTCGCTGCATCTCATGTTAATTATTATATGAACATCAAAACCAGTAATGAGCTGAAACGGACTAACCTTAAAGACGATAATGTTCAATGGAGAAATGAGAGCTTCTTTGAAAGTATTTATCATCAAACCTGCAGAGTACAACTCGAAGAGTATGACAATTGTTATCTTTATTTATTTAAGAATGAAACTAATTCTATTCATGGACCGGTAAAGATCAATTACAAGCAAATTGAATTGGATCTGAAATTCAATTTGAGCCAAAGTAATAAGGATAAGTATTGGTTCGAGAATCCAGAGAAATTTCAACTTTACTTCTTGGCTAAAGCTCGTTGTATTTTAACGCTATTGGCATATAAAAGGATTGATAAAATCCAGTCCCACATGATTCCTCATCTGAATACATATCTTGAGTTGGATTCGATAACTGCCTCACTTTTTCCAAAGATCGAGAGAGACGATTATTTCATAATTAATATCTTTAATTACGATAAACTTTATTACGGTTTGAAAAGCAAGCACGACATAATCCAAGATTTTGACGTATACAAAGGTTACGCAGCTTCCCATCCCATTTTCAACTATACAATTGTACCCGTAAACAAGGGATGTCTGCGAAATAGTGCAACTAAACTCTTATGTAAAAATAACGGCTTTTTTGCGTGGATATTAAAAAGATTTTTATAGAAAATCAAAGATAGCACTTTCTTGATTAATTTAATACCAAAATTTTCTCCTGACGGTTTAATGACGATGAAAAAATATTACTAATATCGATATTACTTTACTCTTTGATCATTGCAATAATTATTGCATTTGTGCAAAAAAACGAGTCTCATAAAGAAACAAGAAACTGTTGTAACATGCAACAGATGGAGCTTTGTGGAAACTGATAAAACTTTTTTACCGCTAAAAAAGTTTGAAAAGTTTTTCGTAGTTTTGACTGAAACTCAAAGAGCAAGAAAAAAAAGTTGAAATTTGGAGAAAAAGTTTCTCTCTTTTTCGTTTCATCTTTTCTTCACGTTATCATCAATTCACCATCACGCTCTGCTTCCCTCACCCGCCCCATCATCAGCCCTTTATCCTTTCTCATTTCATCATCTGTTCGCCTCTCTTTTTCACCTTTCTCATCATCATGTTTTCATCCTTTAAACTCTCCTCCTTCTCTTCCCTTCTCTCTCTTTCTTAATGTCATCATCGGTTGCAAACAAAGTCAATTGAGATTACATTTAACCTGTTAACATTGAGTTTGTGCGCTCACTTTTCTGCCCTTCCGAGCTTTTAAAACATTAACAATATAAAACAGATACAATAGCAATAAGGTTACAAAAGGAATCAACAATAATAAGATAAAGAAACTGATAAATCTTGTTCAAGTTAATCCAACTTTACAGTCAAGTTCATCATCTTGTTCATCCTCATCTTCATTACAGTTTCATCAACAGTTTCTTGTTCACTTGTTTGTATTTACGTTTCATTGTTAAACTCACGACGTTTTCATTCAAAATTAACCAGGAAATCAAAGTTTGTCAACAAGTTTAACCAAAGTAATAAACGTTTAAATATTTGATAATTTCCTTTGCTCTTGTTTAACCAATATTGCCTTTAGTGGGACTCAGTGTTGATCCATCGGAAAAACGGATTAAACTTCAGTGTTATTTCACCGAAAAGTTGCTCTTGATTAATCTGGATTTTCCTTTCCTTTTCATTTCCTTTTCATTTATTTCAATCCTTTTTCTTCATAGTTGTGCTCAAACCTGAATCGTTGGATTAAAATCGTTATGAATGCAACTTTTTTCACTTCATTTCACTAACTTGACCATCAACAACGCATTCAACTTTGTAAGTAATATTTAAATCTAAATCCTGAAATTCCAATTTCGAATTGAAAAGCTGATGAAAAATTGCTAAATGATGAACCAAATTCATAGTTTTTCATCTTTTATCGACACTTGCTCTTATCAGGAAATGCAATCAAAGTTAATAGTTGCAAATAGAATAATTTTCATCAGAAAATCGCAAAACTTGATAGAATTTCCGATTTTTCCAAATCGATCAACAAAATCAATTGAACTCAAACCTTAATCACTCAGAAAAGTTAGCAATTTGCAGAAGATTTGATTGAAAATTTCATTCCATTTTCCCATAAATTCATCTCAAGTTCACACTGAAAATTCAATGTCGGGCAAGAATTGCAAATTTTGAGGGGAAAAAAAGTTTCCAAGATTGACTTTTCATTTTGCAAAATGAATTTAAATTTTGCCAAAGTCGATGAAAAATGTAAGGAAAAGATGATTGATTGCTGCGTAAATGATCGTTAATAGATTGATATAAAATTTGATAATTTGAAAATCAATAGACCAAAGTAAACTAATTAATGTTATTATTTGTTGCCAATCAAAAGTGTCGCCAATAAAAAAAAAGTTTATCCGCAAACAAAAACGAGAAATTAATAACAATTGAACTGTCAAGGGTAATATTTATCATTATTTGTCCTCTTTTATCCCTTTTAGTTCAATATTATCATTATTGGAACAATCTCGCAATTTTTATCCACATTATTATAATTATTATTATCATTATTATTGCTTGTCAGCGATTCATTGCTGTTCATTGCGCACTTCAATAAGCTTTAGTTTCTTCTCTTTTTTTTCATCATTCAATTGAGTTAAATGTTTGACATAATTATCAGGTCAATTTGAGTTATGCCAAATTTAACCTTATACAATTGACGAAATGAAAAATGAAAAACGATGATGATGATGATGATGAAGATGGGGATGGAAACGATGCACGCGTTTGAATGTGAACAGTGTCAAGACCCAGCCTAGTGAGTTGATTTTCAATTTACAGGTAAACAGATAATGTTGGAGTGTTCATTCAGCCATTCTAATGGTAATCAATCTACTCGATAAATGGGTCGTTCAGTGATATTCAGTGAGAGATGATGGTGAGGGAAGGTTAACTGGGTGAGAGGAAGATGATCTGAAAAGTGTATCAGAGTTGAGCTTTTGTTTCAACACACAAAAAAATTTCAACCAAATTTGCATTTCCATCATTTCCATTCAACCTTTTCACATTTTCATTGAAATTAAAACATTGTCTTGCCTCATCAATGATTACTCATTTTAATCAGTTAATCAGTTTGTTTCAATGTGAAGAGAAGAGAAAAACAAAATTTCAAATTTATTTCCAAATTCATTCAAATCTCTTCAAATGCTAATCGAGTTAATTGGCCATAAATTTTCTCAATCAATGGCTTTTGTTGCAAACAAATGTTCACTTTTTCACCGATTTCAACGATTTTTTAAAATGTTTAGTTTTTCAAACATTTCAAGAGTCAAGAAATTTTCCGTTTTTTGACCTTTTTTCTGGCGATTTGAAAGATTTTAGCAAAAGTTTGAAAAATTGTTGAATCTATTTTCTGGTAAAATTGCAAGGAAACATTTTGCCTTTTTGTTCAATTTTAATTTGATTTTGTTGGAAATGCTTTTGTGCTTAAAATTCAGTCCAATTTAGTTGCAATGTTCAACTTGATTCATGATCTTGATTTTTCTCCTTCAAGTTTATTCTTATTTTGGAAAAATTAAATTTAACTCTCTGATGATTATTTGATTGAATTAAATTGGACCTACAATAAATGACCTGAAACACATTTCCGTGTTTTTCTTGTTCTTTGTTTTTACTTCTCTCTTTCCCGTTCATCATGCTGTTCATTTCTCATCGCAACTTTGTTCATGACTTTCAAGTTATCAATTTCCTTTATCATTATCACTGTTTGGTTAATCAATGTTGAGAGTAATGGTTAAAAGATGAACAGATTTGCCCGGCAATCGTTAGCTAATTGTAATCAGTTGGTCTGCAAAACGCAAATTGAAATTAAATGTTTTTAATCAGATTATCGGTCCATTGAATATTTATTCACATTAACCATTGTTGCTATTATTTATTAACATTTCATCTTGATTCTTCACTCGGCAACTATTTATCATGATAAACATGTTAACCTAACCTTGACACGGTAAAATGATTTTAATAGCAATTTAAATTGAAGCAAACTCATCCATTCAAATCTAATCAATTTAAAGTGATAATTTATTTTTCTCTAATTTTCAATATTTCCATTTCCATTCAATTGTTTCAAGTTATCGGCCTTTTCATTTGGAATCTTGAATATTGAATCATAATCAAGTTTCAAATATTTGGTTTCATTTTGATGTCGATATCCAAGTGAACCAACCATGGTTAGGTTTGAATATACAAATGATATTAGATGAGTTTCATTTAAAGACAGATAAAGGTTATCAGATTGACACAATGATTGAAAAGCTTCAATTGAATGGCGGATTGTCAGGATTAAGTGAGACAAATGATACTGATGATGATAAATTTGATCAGGTGAACCTAAAGAAGAAAAGAGAGAGAAGAAGAGATTAACAGATTGTCATGAAAAAAACACCATGAAAAAAGATAAAGTGTTATCATTTTTGGTGAAAATAATACAAGAATGTTGGAGAAGATAAAAAATGGAAATAATTCGGTTTAGTAGTTTCAAGGCCAATCTGGTGAATCCTTCAGGCAACATCATCTCACTGACTTGCTTCCGTTTCAATCATGAAAATGATGAAGATGAGTAGATTTGTCTTCCATTTCTTCTGTTTCCAATCAATTTTTTATCTTCTCTTCATAATAATCATGTTTGCGTTTAAAGAGGCTCAATACGTGTGTTAACCAAACCGAGTTAAGGAGACCTTGTTGGGCCACCAAACCTCCGCCTCTGTGCAAGAGTCAAGTGAACCTTTCTTTTAACGGTTTTTCAATCATTTAAAAACCGGATTCAAAAACACTGAACAGTAAACAAACCGTAATCATAATTAACAAGTTGAGTTGGTTAAACACAAAACGCTCAAAATTTGCTCCAATCATTTCCAGAGTCTCAATTGTCAATTCAATCTTCTCAATCATTTGAAGCAATTGATTTGCAAGGAAATTGTTTAAATGATAAAAAAGGTTGCTCTTAAAGTTCAATTCTAATCCATGATTTACTAATGGTTCATCAAAATTACTCAATTCAATCACTTTTCCTTTTCTTAAAATGTTGATTATCTGTCTTCAATAATAATTAATCACAATTTTTTCTCGCTTTTTTACAGTTTCTTAAAGAAAACGAGCGAAACTAAAGTCTGGAAACTCGTAAAGGTTTCCATTGATTAACCAGATCTGGATTCATAATGAACTTCATTGAAAGTTATCATTACCTGCTTCTGGGTATAAGTTTACTGGCAATTCCAGGTAAATATCTTATTGTATCTGTTGACAAAAGAATCATTTGTGGCAAAAGAAGAGATTTGCTGGAAAAAGATAAATTTTAAAACGTTTATCGAAATCAAATCTAATAATGTTAATTTGAAAGAGCTAATCAAATTGTCATCAGCATCATGATAAAGTGTAAATTTTTGGTTGCGCACTCCTATCATGCTTGATTGGATTCCATTTTTGCCCTTTTTTATACTCATCTTGCTTTTGCATGGTTAGCCCGTGCTATCAAAAGCAAGACAAGACCAACACACAAACAAAAAAACAGTTTGATGTGAAACGGCACAGTCGAGTTGTGTGTGCTTTTTCAATCGTGAAAACTCATCTAATTCATCTCTTCTTCTTCTGAATTGGGTGAACATCTTTTTCAACCATCATCATAATTCAGCCAAACAAATGTTTAATACTCCATTTTTATCTCTTGCTATTTTTTGTGGGCCTTTGTTGGTTTTCATCTTCAATGGTAAACTCCACCTTTAAACGATCACTTTTCATTGCTTTAGCTTCATTTTCAACTCAATTACATTTTCCTCCAATAATGATAAATCATTATTTATCGCATTTGTTTTCATCGAGTTGACACCTTTTATGCGATGAAACTAGCTTTGATTGATGCAATCACCTTTACTGATAATGATTGTAACTCCATCATGAAATGTTGGCCAAATGTTGACTTTGATTTGAAATTAGTTTCATCAGAATCAGTAGATTAGTCTTTGCCATTTGTCCGATGTCCAAGATAGGTAAATTGGTCCAAAAATAACTCTGTAAGGGTTGAAGAGCAGACATTAGTTTTTGTTTAAATGCTTTAAATATAAAATAGATTCAGTGAGATGTTTCCTTATCAAATCTGTTTAATCTGTTAACATTAACAGTTTGTTAAACAATTTGATTAATAAAACAAGTTTCTGAAAATGTTTGTTTAATCATGACTTGGCTTGCAAGTGTTTGTTGATGTTTGTCTAGGATAACATGAGTTAACGGGACTTTAACAGATCAGGTTAACTTGGTGTACTTTTTTTCATGATAATCAGGAGTGAATATTATTTACTATTCAAGGTCGTGATTCAAACATTAACTCAAAATTCAGAGATAATCTTCTTCCTATTTAGATTCTAATGAACATTATGGCTCAAACATAATTGTTCAAAGACAAAATTCAAGGAATCATCATCACCATCAAAATAATCAGTAAAAATTATCATCAAAAGAGCATCATGGCCATGATGGTCAGTCAGTGATCAAATTCAATTATTATTTTGGTAACCTGATATCATGTTGCTCCAACAGTTGAGTCTACAATTTAACTTCATTTTCTCATTATTTAATCGTAAATAGACATTTTAACATAATTAGCATGATCAAATGATTAAACAGTGAGAGAAAAAGCAAACAAAATAAGAAATCGTAGATTACCATTTATAAGAGCATTAATAGCGATTATTAATCTTTGTTCAAATTGATTGCTTGCACACAAAATGAGACTTCCTTATTGTTGACAATAAATGTTGAGCTAGCCAATTAATTGTAAATGGTAACAATTACAATAATGAGAAGGTACAGTTAAACCAGAAATGAAGTTTAAACCACAACCAATTTTGTCTTCATTTTCATTATCTTTCATGATTTAGGATTACCTTGCCAGTGACCGTAAACTTTGTTGATAAGTAATTAGTATCCAAATAATTTAGACTCATCTCAATAATTTAGATCATCTCCAAGTTGATGATGATGGTTTGAACGTGAACGAGTTGAAGGTGAAGGTGCTGACGAATCAACAGAGAGTGAAATAATGTTGATTGTTTGTTTCAACGTAAGGAGACACAATTAAAGGTTGACAGCTCATCCTTTTATAATAACAACTGCAATCGTAAAATTTACCAATTATTAATATTTAGTAGTTAAAACTGGTTGTTGAGTCTTGTCTTTTCATACTGCTTGATATAAATCTCGATTAAATGCCATTTAAAATCTTTAAACAGTTGAGTTTGCAAAAATTATTATATTTGAGATCAACAGGTAAACAAAGGGGAAACTGCTGCAATCCAAACATCATTAGTAAACTTCAATTGAGTAGCCATTGATTTGAATGACGATCTGATGAATTAAGATATTTCTATATTCCAGTCGCGATTGAAGTTAGCGAATCAGTGCACTTTAATCAAATGATGGTAAATGGTTTGGCTTTTGTTTAGTCCTAATGATTGAAGGTGGCTTTTCTTCATTTTTTAGCGCAAAATATTTTTACTAATTGGTGACAGCTACAACTTGTTTAGACGGATTCAATTATGATGATAATTAAATTGGTAGGGCCAAGATGCAACCGGTAACACACGATAATTAGTCTCTTTTTCCCTTTTCAATGATTTAACTGGTTTTGTTAAAAATTGATCCACAATGTCAGCCATGATAGAATCCAATCGAGTTGAACTTGAAATTGAACGGTAAAAAACAATTAGAACTGGGAAATTTAAATGCATTTTACTCTCACCTTTTTCTTTCTTGAAAATGATGATTGTTGTGATGAATACTGTTCAGGTCTCTTTTTTTGCTACAAATATTCTTGACACCACTTAATAACATCCTAATAATTGAACTTAAATTTCTCCTTTCCAATCCAACAGGCTTGATAAATGCGAAAAGTCTTTCTGAGCAAATTGAAGAGCTTCAAAAAACATCTAATTATTCTAGTCCATTCGATGTTGACACCTTAATTACCCATCATCATCCTTCGGTGAGTATCGATAATTAACAAATTGTAATTGATATTAATTGATATTAATTGATAATGGAAAATTGTACTCCTTAAAAAGAAAGCAACACTTTCGTTTTGTTGCTCAATAGCTTTCTTTTTATATACATCTTCGAGTTCAACCTTTAACCATCCCTTTTGATTATTTGAAGGTTAATCGTCATTAATCAACAAATTGAAGGTTGAAAAATTGTTGATGAATCAGCTAATAAACATTTATCTCGATGTGGTTGATCAAAATAATTGAATAGAGTGTTAATCGACCATTCAACATGAAATTGAGATCCCAATCCAGCCACAAACACAGTTAACCAATGATAGAAATCTAGAAACAGAAAATGAAAACACCGAGAATTGAATGAAATTTGTCAATTATGTTGAATTTATATTTAACTTAAACAAGTTTAGACACAACAAGAAAAATCAAATTAAATATCAATATTAAAATGATGAAAAATTATGTTGAATTCAATGAAAACATGTGATATCATTTTGCGAGGGAAAATCTCAAGAGCGCGAATTTTAATTGATTAAATTATAATTGAATTTAAACCTTTGCTTCAAAATGAGAGACAATTTGGATTTCTTTACCTCATGAAGTATTTAATAATCAAATTGAGCAGATTCCCTGAAAGTTATGAAGTAAAATAGTTCAAATGGAGATGGAAATGAAAAATTTAAAAATCCAACTTGAATTCACTTTGGCAAAGTGGTTCATCTTAATTGTTAGTTGAAGTTGATAACAATTTACTTCTTTTTTTCTGATGTGATTTTTTACACTTAATTCAATGGAGCAAAACTGAAAATACATGAATTCATCAATATGGATAAAATGTTTAAATTGTTGAAGGGCGAAAAAATTGATGAATTCATTTTGAGATGTAAATGTAAATTAATTGAATGGATTCACCTAAATTTACATTGGACTTTTAGTTTGCTGTGCGTTCACGATTTTCAACTTAAATGTCAATGAGATGAATAGGATGGAATAATTTTGAGCAAAAAGCCAGAATGTTGAATGAAAAAAAAGGATTCATTATTCAAGGTAGGAAAGGATGAAAAGGAAGAATAGGTTAGAGCTGTTTACATGGTTGATGGTCAAGAAGGTAAAATTTGATGGTAAAAAAAGGGTCATTCCGTGATAAGATATTAAGCATCTCAAAGTAACCGAACTGTCAATAACAAGCTTTGTTTGACTTTTGTCTGTCCATATTTTTTTTGGTAAAAAGCTAACGATTTAGATTTGATAATTGTTAAAATAAACAACAATTTGAATCAACATTTTCACAAGAAAAAAATATGTTAAACTGTTTATTTGATAAATTTTTACGTTTTAAATTGCCCGGTTAATGTTTCTAAAAATGGGTTGACCAATAAGCAGTTTTCAAGATCACCCTGGTAATGACATTCAATTGTTGTTTTAACGGTTATTTTTTTTCTGTTAGTGAAGTGTTTTAATTGTACAAGATTGCTTTGGATTGTCAACCTGAATTATTCAATCAAAATTGTTGAACCAGAATTGTCTAGCCAGGATTGTTTAGTCAAGATCGTTTGACCAAAAAGTTGTTCAATCAAAATTGTCAAAAGGCTCAACGCGTTTAATTGAGTTTACTGGTTTAATCTATTTTAGATTACGGGTCCGTTGACTACAGTTTTAGTCTTGATTGGATTTAATGGTTATTTTGTGACTTTAATTGATTTTTAGTTTACTGGATTGCTGTCAGTTTTCAACGAAAAGCGAAGAACGAGAAAAAAAGGTGATTTTGATCATATTGATGGTATTATTGTTGATGTGATTAGTGACGGTGATGTTTTTAGTGATAGTTTAACTGGTGTGGTGGTTTTGATGGTAAAGATAATGATAATGGTGATGTTATGTGCAAACAAAATTGGGTTTTGGGTGAAATATTGGTCTAATGAACTGCCCTGTCAATTTGTTTTTATTGATATTTCATTTTGTTGTCTTTTGATTTGATTTTACCAGGACAGGTAAAATAAAAGTGATTTGTTATCCGTAAAATTAATGAAACAGTAAATTGAATAAAGTGACAGAAATGAGAGCTTTTAATGTGTGTGTTCATCAATTTTGATTGACGGTTTAAACAGACAAAGAAATATAAAATGGTAAATAAATGTACAGTGTATTGAAAAAAAAGAGTTGCCGTAAACAGGCAAGCAAGCAAATATAAAAAAAACACATTCATCTTAAGTGTGTTACCTACAAATTAATACACACACTTTTCCGTTTAACAAATGATTATGATAATACATTATAATGGTGATTGTTGCCGGTATAATGATTGAAAAGTCTCAACTGTTAAGTATCACAATTTATCAAAAGTATGAAAGCAAATATTGATTGATCAAATCAACTTTTATGTTATTTGATACAATCTTGAGGTGAAATCTTCCGGTCACAGATAGTTGTGATTGTTTAGGTTACAGAGGGTAAATGTGTGGCTGGAATGGCTGGAAGATGATGAAAATGATGATTGATAGAGAGAAAGGAAAGGTAAATATGAAGATTGAAGCTAGATGTAACATGTATTTACGTTAACCTACGCTAACCATCGTCTCGGTCTCATTGTTGCTTTAATTCACTCGTCTTCTGACAAATGTCTTATCTTCACCTTTCTTCTTCTCTCTCTCTTTACCTTATTAAATTCACTTCTTGCCTCTTCACCTTTAGCTGGTTAGATCGCTTCACTTCAGAGTCTAATAAGTTTCCTGTGAGATTTGGGTTAGGATTTTATATTGCTTATGAAACCTTGAAATAAATAAATGAGAAAGCGAGAAAATCAAGTCTTTTTTGCTTCCACTTTTGTTGTTTTGTTGCTGGTGATAGAGATGATGGCAGAGTTGGCTATTTTTACTTGTTGACTGTTTTTTGTTTTTTTTGGTCAGTAATGATACAGATAAAAAAGTAACATGAATTAAAGGAGCGAGAAATACACCAAATCAGAGTGACCAACAGACAATATTATTTTATCCTTGAGATGAGATGAAAATATACACTTTTCAATGTTGGTGAAATTAAAGATGACTGTTGACTTGTTTTTTTTCCCTGATTCTCCTGGTTTATCAGCTTTGAATGGTAAATCTTTAAATGCTAACATTTCAGAATCATTGACATTGATTAACATGGGAAACAGGCACTTGACCGAGGCAAAAACAGGACTTTCATTTACGACATTACTTTGAATGGTGGCCCATTAAAGAAGGTGGCTCTTTGATTGGAATCACATTAAGATGATAATTTGTTCATTGTACCATTTAATTTGTACAATTAGAAATTTCAACAGAAAGATTGATTAAGATGGAAACGGTTTGATTGAGGGAAAATAGTGTACCAACAACAACAAAAAAGCACAGTAAGAGAGATACAAAACAATGGCGTCGCTTTTTTTCAAGCTGTTTGGCAGTTGATTAAATATAATTTCAAGTCAGAAAATAGCTCATTTCCTATTAGATTCTCATGATTTTTTTACCTTTGATCCATTTTTTCAACTTTGATGATTCCAATTTTTCATATCAATTTGATAACCTTCAATCTCAATTAAGACATCGATCATCTTCAGAAAAAAAGTGTTGCCGAAAAAAATCAACACATTCAGAAAGACTTTTTTGTTTCACCATATTATTGGAATAGCGATACTGATCTCCCAACGGGTCATACTCGATAAATGGATTAATTCCTTGCAGATACTCTTATCAAGATCGGGTTAACGGCATTCAAGAGTAAGGCCACTGGAATAAAATAGATTTTTTTTATCCTGTGGATCTCTATTGAGATCCAATGTATGGAATGAGATTCATTTAGACGCCTAAAGACACGGTACTTACCTAGATTGTTTTTGATAGAAATGAAAATCAAACCACTTGATGAAATCATCAGGTGCACAGAGTAATCAAAAGCAAAATTAAACACAAATAAACAAAAAAACTAACAATTGTTAAGTTAAATTGAATCAAAATAACAACGAAAAAGCTGAACTTCCTTTTCAAATGGCTCCACCTAATGTTTTATTAAACACTTAAATTTAGTAAATTGAAGCGTAAATAAGTAACTGTGAAAAAATGAACCTTATAAACTTATGTTATGTGTTGAACAAAAAGTAGAGAATTTATTTACTGATTCTGAAGATGATTTAATTATTTTTTGCTGCTGTGGTTGTGATTGTTTCAAGAAATTATAATTAGAAAGGAAAAACATTGAAAAAACTAGTACATTCATTACATGCTGTTTATCAATGTGACTCGATAATTGATGTGCGATGCTTGTTTTAGCCAGTGTCCTATTGCAATAGTGTAATTGGTATAATTCAATTTATTTTTAAAATTTGCTTGTTGATTATTTACAATATCAATTATATCCGATCACTATAGACTCTGCAAAAATGGGTTAATAATGATTTCTTTTTTCTCTTTATTTCTTTCTAGCAAAATGGCAACTCAGATGGTGATGCCGAGTCTTCAACGGTTGTTTACAGAGACAATGTTGATACCAGTGATCTTTCGCCAAACATTGCCCACTCTGGGTCTTCCTCAACCACCCATTATTACCCTTCATCAACCTCAACCTCTCGTCCAAATTCATTGGACTCTATGGTTAAGCCAAATATTGATATTGATTCAAGCAATCCGGTAAACAATGGTCGAGAAGATCCACTTCAAAAAATTTTACCCAAAGTTCGTTTCAATTGTTCTGGACGACCTGAAAGCTATTATGCTGATCCCGATTTCAATTGTGAAGTATTTCACTACTGTAAAACAAATGGATTTCGTTTTACTTTTGTTTGTCCTCCTCGATCTCAATTTAATCAGAAACATATGACCTGCGATTATGATAAACCTGGAGATGCTCTTTGCTCTAAACCATCTAACGAATCACTTACCTCAACTGACAATTATAGTAACCAATCTCCAGCCTCAATCGACAGTGAACTGATAACAGTTCTTGGTTCAACAGAGCGACCCTTTACACCTATAACACCATCTGCTTCACCCACTCCTTCATATTCATCACCCGAATGGCCAAACAGTGGACCATCAACTGTATCTTCTGATAAACATGATTCCGCTTATGGATTTGAACCACTTGAACATGGACAACCTTATGGACATTTTCCTTCACTGGGATCAACAGACGAGGAAGATTTTAATCGAGGTAATTCCCACGAGGTTCAAGAAACTTCAAAGAAAACTTCATTCGCTGATCCACCTTCTGATATAGAAAATTCATACAAAAGTTCACCCAAACCAAACCATGACATAGTTTCAGTTTCAACGGAGTCAATTCCTGACATTGCAGTCTCTAGTGGATCACCTAAATCTCGAATACCCATCGGTTATTCAAGTCCGATGCCCGATATTGACGAAACCTCTAACAAAGACTCTTCTGGTGGTTTTAAGCCTGTTTTCATGGACAAAGGATCAGGTAGTGGTGGACCAAGAAAATATTCAACCGTTGCACCACCAATACTTGAAATTGAAGCTGCCGATAATTCAGGAAAAGTGGATCTCCCCAGTTCAATGACAACAGGTTCTCCCTTTTCCGTTGGCCCAGCATATTCAACATCACTAACTCCATCTTATTCACCATCAACACCAGTATTTTCAACTTCATTCTCATCACCTTCTACTTCATCTTCCTCACCATCCTCCTCACCACCATCAGCATCTTTTTCACCTTCAACTACAACTCCAATGCCAGCAACAAGTGCAACACCCATACAACAGTCGACGATATCATCTCCACCACGATCCAAATATCATTCATTGGACGATGGAAATGATCTTAAACCTTTAACTAAAATTACTGTTCAACCAATCGATCTTAATTATCTAAATTCAAATCGAAACTTGAAACCCAAAGCAACTTCTAACTCACAGAGAACCAGTCAGCGGCAGCCACCATCAACATCTTCAAACACATATTTCTCTCGCCCCATAACCAGCAAGGTTAAAGATGATTATAATAATAATAATAAGGTTACGAGTAACGGTAAAGGAAATGGCAATCAAAATAATCTTCATAATGTAAAATCACGAGTCAACAAGCCAACCAAATACTCTACATATTCACTTTTCAACGATATAAGATCCGATTCACGTAATTCATTAACAAATGGTAAAACCTCTCATCATGCATCTAAAAGTTCATTTGAACCCATACTGGGTTTAACCCAATTTGGCCAATATACACCATCTTATTTGGAAAATATTGATCGAGGTGCATATCCATTAAATTTTAATCGATCTCGTCCTTTGGTCTTGTCAGGTCAATCATCAGCATCATCAGTAGCAACAGCTGCATCAACTCCATCAATTAGTTCAGCTTTTCTTGAAAGTCAAGCAGCTAAGTTTGCTCAAATTGCTAAATTGAATTTGGAGAAGAGCAATTCTCATCGGGATCCATTTGCATTTGATTATACAGCCCTGTCTCAAACTGATTTACCCATCTTTCACCCTGTTTATGACCAATTCCATCCTGGGGGACAGCGATCAACTTTAGCTACTGTAAACAGTCAATTACAAGAAAAATTTGTATCAGAAAAGGAGCAACTTTTCAAAAAATTGAGGTAAGTTTGTTTGAATGAAACTCTTTAGATGGCGGCTCTTCCCTTGTGAGGATTTGAAAGATTAAACTTTACGGTTCGTTTAATCATTTAAATTGTCACTTTCAAAATTGTAATAATTTATCAACAAATTACTCTTGAGAATACAAATATCATTAAGAAATATTTATCAGTCTAGGGAAGAGTCTCCTGTTTATTAATCGCGCGTAATTATATTGAAGACTGAGTAACTAAATTGTATCTTTGTTTCGTTTCGATTCATCCAGGCAACAATACGCTCAAGATCAAATTCGTAAGCAACTTCACCAATCGCTTACCGACCATGTTCAACAGCAGGGTCAACAACAGCAAAGTAATACTTTAACTGGAGCAAATTTGTTCGCAAACTCTGGTAAACCACTGACAAGCTTGGGTTCTGCTCCTGTAATGGCAACCTCTGCTAGTACACCGTTACAACAAATGACTCAAAGCACTTCACTCATACCAAGTGTTACACTCGAAGAGGAAGAAGCCAAATATCCAGACTATTTCTACGGTTTACCTAAATTATCCGCACTTTCTCAACCTTCCTCAATGCCTCCTGGTAAATCAACATCAATTCCCAAATTTGATGGAAACTTGTTACACTCAGTTGCTAACGGTCAAAATACAGGTTCACAGTTCTCTACTTTTAATAATCCGTTTGTCAGTGAGTCGAACGATGCAAATAAAAAACAACCAATAGAACCATATCGTCTTCCCATCGGAAAGAGACCTGCTAATCCAGTTCAAGCTACGTCCTCATCCTCTCTTGTCTCATCTCTTCAACGTCTTCCCTGGGTCAATTCAAAAAACTCACCAGTTGCACCAGATAACAATTGCTACCTCAGCATCAATATGATCATAGTGTGCACGTAGTCCTATATAATATGATCAAACAGCTGCATCTTCAGGCAACTAATGCTCAAACCTCTCGACGGACCGTTTTTCTCCCAGATTACCAAATTTTTCAGCTCTGCATCTTTTCCTAGACCATCAAATCTATTTCCTCAGATCACTGCCAAATCATCTACAAACTTTCCATTCTCATATGATCAACTCTCCTCATCGCCCATGAACTCACCCTCTGGTTATTCAAATCTTTTCTCAAATGGTAATTTCCACTAATCTGAACAATTTTGACTAAAAAACGAGACAAAGAAACTGAACTGAAAAAGAAGAGTTTTTTTGTCAGAATAAATTATCAATAACAAGAGTAAATCATTATTTTGTATTATTATGGTTAGTCTTTGTGATTTTGATTTTTCTATACTTTCGAAGCTTTAAAATCAAATTAAGATTCTTTGGTTTAGATATAAATTTAATTGCATTCAGTCTTTAGAAAGTTCGTCAAAGATATTTATTAAATGAGATAAACTTCCTTATCAATATAACGGATAAGGGTTTCTTATTTTAGACAACCGGGTTCAAAATAAGCTTTTCATGATTCAGATTTCGTGATCAATATTGCAATTTACTAATGGCTTTTTCAATCTTCTTTTAAAAGGACACAATCCAGGACACAATTACGGACAATTTAGTCGATCACCGGTCAACAACGATCAATCATCTTTTCCTGGTTCAATGAATATTAACAGGCAAATGATTAATCGTCGTCACTTTTCACCTTCATGGGAAGAAAGTTTTGCTTCATCATCAATGCTTGAACCAATTGTTGCACCTGATAGACGTTCATCCAATGGACCAGTTACCTTTGAATCTCGCGGACCAAAACCTTACTTTTCAATTGAATTGGGTAAAGATGGCTGGAGCTCATCAGTACCATTAAATGGACATTTTCACAGTTCACAAAAAAATGAACAAGCAAAATACAACTCTGATCCAAAACATAATCTTTACTATATTCAACCTACTCATCACCATGACCACCAAAAACGATCATCTCGACGCAAGCGATCATTGCGTTTAACCAAACCTGAATATCGATACTCAATGCCACATTCAAATCCTTCGTATTCACTTTTTCTTCGACTCTTTAACAATATAAGACCAAATTCATTGACTTTTCTCACTAATCCAAATAAATTAGTCTTTGGAGGTCCTGGAGGTGGACACAATTTTGCATCAGCTTCAACCTTAGGAGCAACTTATTTATCACCCAGATTTGCTCCTTCTTTACCCAATTTCAGCCAATCACCTTATTTAGGGACAACATTACGACCCGTCTTCACTCGACAATATGATACCTCTGGATATGGTCACTTACCCTTTGCCTCTGTAAACTCACCAGCCTTTTCACCATTCACTTCAGGAACTTCTTTGGGCTTAGGTCCACACCATTCTCATTATGGTTTAAATCTTGATTCACCTTTTTCATCAAGCTCTTTGTCATATGAAGAAGACCTTAAACATCGTTTATTGGCACAACCTAAATTCCTACAAACATATGATCGACCAAACCTAAAGTCGTCCTCTGGCTTTTATGAAAATACCGATTTCAATCCATTATCAATTGATCTAAATGAACTAAACGAGTATGAATCGCCACCAATTTATGAAGCTTATTCCAAAAAGAATAGCAAAGAATATGATTCAAATAAAGAATATTATTACCGACCAGTATCATTAACTAAAGGAAACTCAAAACGTCCACCAAAACGTGAAAAAGTTCCAGGTCATCTTCAACATAGTTCATCTATTGAACCACAACATTCATCACGCCACCATTCAATTGATGATACATCTTACTCTGATGCATCCCATTCATCTTCATCAAGTCCCTCTGTTCACATGGACGATGAAGCCTATTACAAAGGTGATCCAAATCCAAACTCTTATGAACATGGGCCAGAAGGACCAGCGTATATGGACAAAGAAAGAGAACCCGAGATTTATGAAGATGTAGGTCCAAGTCCTGCTAGAGATCCTGGTAGAGGACCTGAAGGTAATGTCGATGATCGTGATCGATCTCATGATGGTTATGTAAACAATCCTCACCATCAATCCAGCTATGATTATCATTCAGATGGTAAAAAGTATGATCATTATACTAGCATTGATCATTACCCTGAAGATGGTTACGATGAAGGTTCCAGTTCAGGTTCAATGGTCAGAGGACATCATGATGCATCTATTGACTATGGCGCTTTAGTACCTCCATATGCCAAAGATTTACCCTCTGATCCAGATTCAAAGTCAATGGGTGGTGTCAACTATTCAACAATTTCCCAAGTATATCGACCCTCTCTTCAAGTTCACCAACATCGAATCCATCATGTAACTTCTTCACCAGCTCAAGAATATTCAGGGTCCAACTATTATACTCCAAATGAACAGCACTATGTTAAACATGAAACTGGTGGCAATTATGAGTCAATGAATGGAAAAGATTCTTCACCTTATCAAAATGGTAACATTAATCATAATGATGCCAATACATACTCCAACGGGCCTTCTATGAATCAACCAATTACCAATCAAAACAACAACAACAACTTTAAACTTGAAGTGATTGAAGATGATTACGACAATTCACCTCAATTGCCTGTTCGTTCAAACAAAGATGCCACCAAAGTCAAAGCGGAATCTCAAAACAATGAGGAACAATCAAAAAATTATGGTTACTCTCCACAATCAAACATTAAATATCCATATGATTACGAAAATACAAAGATTTTCATCAACCATGGCGGCGGTGATCACGGTCGTCCATATATTGGTGAAGCTGCCTACAATGAATATCCTGATTCTGGTTATGGTGATTCAGATTATGCCAATGGAAAAAATTACTATCCTGAACCTGAACAAGTAAACACTCCAACGACTAATCAAAACATCAACAACAACAATAATAATGATAACACTAATAATAAAAATAACGCAAATAATAATGATGACAATAAAAGTGGTGGCAACAAAAATGACAAAGAACGGGATAAAGTTGGACAGAAGAAGATATCTCCGTACGATAAAAAATACCATTACAATAAGCCTACCATAACTAAAATAACCAAAGAAATGAAGACTTCAACTCCAACAATGACAGAGAAACCTTCATCCGGACAAGCTCCTTCATCTTCATATCATTCACATCATCAAGATTCATACCTCTGATCAACCTCAACTT